ATATTTTTCCCCCCCAAAGTGTGGAAACCCTATGTGAGGAATATGTGTACTCCGACCAGGAACACGGATATTGAGAACTGCTCCTTAAACCAAGACTCTCAGCCTATTGAAAGAGGGTCAGCTTGTCTCTTGGGATACTTCCCTCACTCCCCTCAGTAGGGATGCCAGCCTCCAGGTGGGGCCCGGGCTTGGGGATCTTGGAATTACAGCTGACCTCTAGAGTACAGAGATCAGTTCCTCAGGAGAAAAAAAAGATGCTTGGGAGGGGGTGGACTCTGTGGCATTGTACCCCACTGAGGTTCCTTTCCTCCCCAGGCTCCACCCCCAGATCTCCAGGAATTTCCCAGCCTGGAACTGGCAACCCTAAATCTCTAAGCTACTATTTCCCTAAGGCAACACAGGATATCGACTCTGTTCCTGCCTCTCTAATGGCCCTGAGCTCTGTGTACCTATACTATAAAAGTCTGAGTTCTTTTCCTTCAACAGGTGAAGCCTAACTACCTAACTGATCTCCTAATAGTTTTCCCCTGTTTCTGTGTTACTTCCCCAAGCCCTGTCTGAGGTGATGATAGACATTCCCTCCACTTAATTCTTCTCCCTCCCAGAGGTTCCACGACCTCTCACTGGCTAAAGCCACTTCGTTTCTGCCTACTCCCCCTGTAGGCAGGGATTTGCTGGGGAGCATGGAAGGTGGAACTACAGGCTGTCCTTCACACCCTTCTACCAAGGACACCAGGGGACTAGATACAGGGCGTGATCACACGCAGAATTAGCCACGCCATAGGCGCAAATGCCGGGTTGATTTTAAGGGTGTGATCAGACACCAACAGCTGCCAAACGTCCTCCTCCCATCGGCAACGCATTTTGCTCTGCTACAGAAGTGGAGTAAAAAGACACCAGGGAAAACTCAGTACGAAACGGGTTTGCTATGGGCCAGGAATGGACTTTCCTCAGTGTGATCGCACCAGCGTCGTCTGATCAGGCCATCCCAACTCCATGTCATTGGTTTTTTCCCCGTTTCGGTATGCGCATAATCGCATACCGCATAGGGAACACTCGGTGTGGAGAATGCAAATCATCAATCCCTCGTTGAAGCGCACCGGAAATACACGGCCAAAAAAAAAACCCTGACTCACTCGCGGTTGCATCTGATCACGCAGTGGTGGGCCGCTCCCTCAGCTCCCAGGGACTGTGTGATTGTGCAAATGTGGGTCAAATTCCTGCGGAGCAAATAGCTTCGCTTCCCCCCTGCACTATTTCGTGCGTGTGAACACTGCCACAGTATTGCTTATGTTTGCATGGGTTTTACTGCTGAGCAATAGCCACTTCTGCTGCTGGAGAAGCACTCCTTCGGTGAATAAATGAGGGAGTGGTTTTCAGAGGTTTAGGATGGATTCAGATACTGATGATGGTGGTGGTGGTGATGATAATTGTGTGTATCCCAAATGAGCTTTCCTTCTATTCTGAGTTTTTCACATGAAAAAGGTTCCCTGTTACTATCTCTGCCATATTTTAGGCACTAGCTGTCCTGTTTGTTTTAATTTCTGTCCTTTGCTTACTGTCTCTGTTGTTTTTCACATCCCTGTGCCATTGTGTTACTGGCTTTATTTCATACTCCTGAAGGTTGTAACGTATGCTGTTGTTTTAATTAATGTTTTAATATTTATATCATTACTGTACGCCATCTTAAATGTCAGTTATGCAGTTCAAATAAAAGATGACACCGGTAGTCATCATATGGCCGTATGATCCAACACTCAGTCAGGCTAAGTGATAGTGAGTCCTACAGCTAGAGGAGGTATAAGTAGGGTTGGCTGGCAACTGGTGAGAAGACTGAGGGGATGGAGATGGGGTAATGGTATTGCACAACACTGCAATATCATTTCCAGCTGAAAAACGGGAAATAACATCACTGTATTGTGCACCACTCTAAGAATTGTCCTGAACTTTCGCCATAGAGATCTGTAGAATTCCTAGACCATTACATGATGTAGTGACATCACTTCAGTTTTCCTGTCTGGAAATTACAACAAGAAGTCATTTGCCATAATTTCCCTCCACCATTTCCACTTTGCCACCCCATGGAATACCAACAGGGGAAAGGGGAACACTGACAGAGATTCTCCCATCCATGGTGGGAAAATGGTAATTCCAGGTGTGATGTGAGAGTCAGTCACACAACAATGGTGGGAAGATTAGGGTTGGCATACTGTACCTGGGTTTGAATCTGGGCATCCCACCCAGTACACCTTTGGTCCATTAGCTCCCCCAAATTACCTGATTTAATTTTTTTGATCTTTGCTAGAACTTTCTAGATCTGGAGATAGAAGTTTTCTGCCTAGTTTATGGAGGAAACAGACTTGTTTTGCCGTCCCTTTTTTCCAGCCAATGAGGGAAATCATGGCTGTAAGTATTTGATTTTACACAGCCCAGTTAGGGAGGGGGGACCAGGATTCAGTTATACTCTGAAATGTTTTCTGCAATGCCAAGTTTCCCCCTGCCTGCTCTTCTATTCATCTGTGGCTTTCCCTGGTTTCCGCAGGTGATTTCTCCCTCCTGGGCACAAAAACACAGTTTTCCCCTTCTTGCGGTGTAGCATGGGAATTCCTGGAAACAGGGTATTTGGATGCCACGCACCAAGAGGGGGAAAACTGTGTTTTTGTGCCCAGGAGGGAGAAATCACCTGCGGAAACCAGGGAAAGCCACGGATGAATAGAAGAGCAGGCAGGGGGAAACTTGACACTGTGGGAAATGTCTGAATGCTTCCAAAAGCTTTCAGCCTAACCTTTCTGCATAGCAGGATTCCTTTCGAGTTGCACATTACATACCCTAAAGTATTACTTTCAGGGGTCATTTCCTGCAGGAGCGCACAGGAGTGGAGTTCCAGCAGTAAAGAGCCCAGGGGGCGGGCACATGCAACAAGCCCCACCCCCTGCTCCCAGCAGCCCTGGGCCACAAGGAGCAAGAAGTAGCCAGGTAAGTTGCAGAGCCCCCCGAATAGCAATCCAAAACAGTCCAGTGGCACCTTTA